GTACTGCACTTTTCTCAATCTTTTACTTACCTGAAGCACTTTATGGTTTCTTTTTGGCATGTCTGAATTGCCAGCATCACTACTCTTGTGCTTTGGGGCCTAAGGAAGGAAAAGTAAGGGTGACTTGAACACAAGTTCTGCCATACTGTGATAGTCGATCTGATAACCCAGATGGCTACTCAGTGACTAACCAGTTGGGAGTGTCTACAGCATGAAGATGTGAGACAAAGGGATGAGTCATGTCCTAGATGGAATGGGATGGTGTTATGGGATTTCATTGTGCTACTCAGAATGGCACACAATTTAAACTTATTGCTGATTTCTGGAATTTTCCATTTAATTTTTCAGATAGATAACTGTGAAACCATGAAAGTGAAACTGAATTAGGGAGGACTACTGTCTTTAAACCCTTTGTCCATTTTTCAAATGGATTACTTGTCTTCTCCATTGAGTTGTGAGTATTCATTATGTATTCTGGACACTAAATCCTTACCAGATATATAATTTTCAAATGTTTTCCTTGTTCTGTCAGTCATCTTTTTACCTCATAATGTGTCCCTTGAAATACAGCAGTTTTAAATTTTGATGATGTCAGTTTATCTAGTTTTTCTTTGGCTGTATGTGCTTTAGGTATTATATCCAGGACTATGGATATTTCCCTCTGTATTTTCTTCTAAGAGTTTTATAGTTTAGCTCTAACATTTAAATTTTGCATCCATTTTGAGTTAATTTTTATACATGGTCTGACTTAGGGTCCAACTTATTCTTTTGCACGGAAATCCAATTGTCTCCACACCTTTGTGGAAAAAATGATTTCCACTGAATTGTCTTTGTACCTTGTTGAAAACCAATTGATCATGAATATTTATTTCTGGATTTATTTCTGGATTCTCAACTCTATTCTGTTTATCTGTTGTGTGTGTCTATTCTTATACCAAGGTTGAAATCTTGATTATCGTAACTTGGTAGTAACTTTTGCATTCATTATTTTTATTTATATCAGAGGTTCCTAATCATGCTCTCCTTTATTCTTTTAAGATCATTTTATTATATACACACAATATTATATATATTAAATACATATAAGTATATGTTATATATATTAAATATATGATATATTAATATATCACTGACTTTAATAAATTGAATACATAGTTTTTGAATTAAGAAATTGTAGCTATGGTGTGCTGAGCTATGTATGTTAGCAGCAAAATTTGACCAACAAAGGTGAAAATACACTGGGTCGTGTATTGTTCAGAAACATTTACAGTGATCTTTCTTCTTCCCAGTTTTCACTAGGGGAAGTTAATACTCATGGAATGGCAAGGGGTCGAAAACTTACATATTTCCAAGTACCTGAAGATTTGGAGTTTGGGGTAAAGAAAGAAGTTTTGGAAAACTAACAGTGAGCAGTGAGAATTAGCCAGAAATTGAGAAATGGAGTCAGAACACCTGGGTTGAAATTCTGATTCTTATATTAGTTTGATGACTTAAGGCATATCATTTAATCTTGGTTTTTAACTTCACTTATTTATTCATTCAGATTGTTGCCTTTCATTTTTCATATTCAGCTTTGTCAATGTACTTCTTTTAAAAAATATATGTAATCTTTATTATATTTTTTCCATTACCATTTAGTTCCCTTATAGACCTCTACCCCCTGCAATCACCACACTGTTATCCATGTCCCTGAGTCCTTTTTCTTTTTTGCTCAGTCCCTCAACCCCCTGACCTCCCTCCCCTACTAGATGCCATCTGTTTTCCATCTATGAGTCTGTCTTTGTTTTGCTAGTTAGTTCAGTTTGTTCATTAGATTTCACATATGAGTGAAATCATATGGTATTTGTCTTTCTCTGATTGGCTTATTTCACTTAGCATAATGTTCTCCAGGTCCATCCATACTGTTGCAAAGGATAAAATTTTCTTGTTTTTTATGACTGAGTAGAATTCCATTGTGCAAATGTCCTATAGTTGTTTTATCCACTCATCTATTGATGAACACTTGGGCTGCTTCCATTTCTTGGCGATTGTAAATAATGTTGCAATGAACATAGGCGTGCTTATGTTCTTTTAAATTAGTGTTTTGGGTTCCTTTGGATAAATTCCCAGAAGTGGGCTCGCTGAGTCAAAAGACAGATCCATTTTTAATTTTTTGAGGTATCTCCATACTGCTTTTCCACAGTAGCTGCATCAGTCTGCATTCGTACCAACAGTGCAGAAGGGTTCCCCTTTCTCCACATCCTTGACAGCACTTGTTTGCTGATTTATTGATCATAGCCATTCAAACAAATGTGAGATGATATCTCATTGTAGTTTTTATTTGCATTTATCTGATAGCTAGCGATATTGAGCACCTTTTGTCTGTATGTCCTCTTTGGAGAACTATCTATTCAGGGGCTTTGCTCATTTTTTAATTGGGTGATTTGTTTTTTGGTGTCGAGTTTTGTAAGTACTTAATAAATTTTGGATATTAATCTCTTATCAGATGTATTGGTGAATATGTTCTCCCATTCTGTGGGTTGTCTTTTTATTTTTTTGATAATTTCCTTTGCTGTGCAAAAACTTTTACTTTGATGGGGTTCTATTTGTTTATTTTTTCTGTTGTTTCCCTTGCCTGGGGAGATATATCTGATAAAATATTGCTATTAGCAATGTCTGAGATTTTGTTGCCTATGTTTTCTTCTAGGATTTTTATGGTTTCAGGTCTAATGTTTAAGGCTTTGATCTATTTTGAATTTATTCTTGTGTGTGGTGTAAGAAGGTGGTCTAGTTTCATTTTTCTGTACATATCTGTCCAATTTTCCCAACACCGTTTATTGAATAAACTATCTTTAGCCTATTGTATGTACTTGTTTTCTCTGCCAAATATTAATTGACTGTAAAGGTGTGGGTTTGTTAATTGTGGGGGATGACTAAGCACATGCATCCTGGCAGCTGTTCCCTCAGTTCTCTCCCAGACCAACCAACCCCAGACTCTCTTCAGGCATCTCTAGTGCACTCTGCCCTCCCTTTGCCGGTACCCAGGATAAGTAGCTGCAAAGGAAATTTTATGCTTTGGCTCTGTAAACAGCTTTCTGCATCTCCAGCTGACTCTCTCTGGGTAACAGAGCCCCTGCTACTTTTCACAGCTGGATGTTATCTGACTTCCTTTCCAGCTCTGGTGCTGTAGGCTAGGGAGCCCAGCTTGGGGTTTATACCCCATACTTCTTAGGGGGAATCTGCCAGCTGCTGAAATATTCTTCAGTACTTGAGCTGCCGCCCATGGGAGCCCAGCCAGCCCTCTCAAATTTCTGCACTCCCTACCAGTCTTGTTGTCCTGAAGTGTTTTCTTCTGTCTGTCTGTGGTGTAAGGCTTCTCTCCAACTAGTATTCAGTCAGTTAGTGAAAATGATTTCTCTACAATTAGTTGTAATTCCAGATTGGTCCTGGGAGGAGGTTAGTGTAGCTTCCACTTATTCCTCCACCATCTTGGATCTCTCCCCATCAATGCACTTCTTAAAACATGACTTCCAAAGCTGGTGTGATGTTTTTTTGTGACAGAGGATTATCTTGGTTCTGAACCTGCATTCAAATTAATGCCATCGAAGAGTTATGTTATTGTTTTTTTTTTGGCAGCCACATTACATTTGATTTATCTTCTCTTCTTTTGCTGATTATTGTTTTTCTTCTCAAGTTCTCTAATGATTTAATTAGCAGTGAAACAGTTTACTTAACATGGTATGTTGTTTTTAAAGGCCAGGTTGTCTTTGCAATCATAGAAGTGTCATGCAGGTCAGGGCTGAGAATATGGCTGTGCTACCAGCTAAGAGAAGCATTTTTCTGTAGTTTTGAATATTAATGAATATGCTTTAGGGATCCATTGTTCAACTTCCTGGTACAAAATGTCTTTTCCACTTTGTGTGTTTTTCTTTGTGGATCTGCCTTTTTCTTCTGTTTTTCTGGTTTAACCTTTCCTCTACTCTGTAAGTCTTTTTCTTTTTTTTAAATCCTTACCCAATGGTATGATCAAACCTCCAACCGAGGTATGTGCCCTGACTGGGGATTAGAATTGCAACCTTTTGGTGTATGGGTGATGCTTCAACCAACTGAACCACCTGGCCAGGGCTGTAAGTCTTTTTCTTTTCTTCAGAGCTTCTGCTTAGATTTTGGCCTTCTTCAAGTATATTTAAGCTTTCTGTGACATGTCATAATCTCACTGTGTCCTGCCTGTACTCAGGGCTTCTTTATCCAGGTCTTTCCAGCTCTCCTCCAATGTTACTTCAGTGTCTCAAGCTAGGTTCTAGAATGAGAGAGACTGATGAGTCAAGAATCTCTTTTCACACCTGGCACATCACTGGTTGTTGGCTGCTTGGTGGGGTGTTCACTTCTAACCACCTAGCTAAGGCTGGTCAGTGAGCATCAGGGGTCCACAAGGGACTTCTGCAGGAATCTCTGGGGGAGACAGTTTGATTTATTTATGGCTGTGGCTTTGGCACACGCTGGGACTGACATTTCCCATGTAAACTCATATGAAGTATGCAAAGAGGTTAGATTTTGTGCATGTTTGGTAGGAGATGGAGATTAGTTTGATTTAGTATGCAAATATGAGTTTTTATGGGCATTCAAGTGGAAATGTCCAGCAAGAAATGTGGACCAGGTGTCAGGAGAGGAGGTGCTGAAATAATTTGAAGTGGTTCTAGTCCTAACCCTGTGTGGGTAGCTGAGTAAGAAAGTTTGGGAACAGGGGACAGGGTTAAGAACAACTGAGGACATGTTAAAGACAACTGAGGACATCTCAACGTAGAAATATGTAGAAGAGAAAAGAGAAGCCCTGCAGGAGAGATAAGCACATAATCAGTTTACTTAATGAAATATTCTGTGGTATTTTTAAAGAGATAGGTAAATGAATCAGAAAATGTTTCAAAATGACTTGAGAATTTTGAGTACAGTTTTACACTAATAAATAATCTTAACTTATCAAATGACCTTGCTGTATTCTTACCCTAATCTCTTCTGCACAGGTGGAAGAAGAAATCCAGACTCTGTCTCAGGTGTTGGCAGCAAAAGAGAAGCATCTAGCAGAGATCAAGCGGAAACTTGGAATCAATTCACTACAGGAGCTAAAACAGAACATTGCCAAAGGGTGGCAAGACGTGACTGCAACACCAGTGTACGTCCCCTCGATCACACACTTTTGTAGAGAATGTAAATGACATTTTTTGCTCTGGGGAGGGGAATAGAAAGGCAATGCAGTTGTCTTTTCTGCAACTTGATATGACATCATCATGATGCATTGTGTCCCTGGTGCAGGGAGGATCACACATCTAGTAACTTTCTACCCATACACGAGTCAGTGGAAAAACACACAGGGAACTGTCCTGTGACTGTGTCATCATAAACTGCTGTTTGTTTTTAATATTGACCTTTAAAGGGTAATTCTTTTTTATGATATGGGTTCTTGACCCTTTTGCTATAGGTATCATATCCTTTCGTTTTGTTTTTGTTTTTTTTTTTCCCCTTTGCTAATCACTGGGGAGATGAGAAGAGGAAGGTGGTAAATCATACCTTTGTGTCTCAGCAAATATCACAAGTCTCAAGTGTCACAGCTCTTTTAGATACTGTACCTTTACATCCTCCATTGGGAGTCCACAAGCCCTTACTTGTTAGCTCGATAGACATAAAGCATTAAAAAAATTCTGCATTCATTCAATTCATTTAGATAATTTTCTAGCACCCTTTTATAGGAGATAAACTTGTAAAAGGCATGTGAAGAATTTGATTTCATTTTGTCTTGTTTGGCTTAACTGGCAAAGGTAAGGATAAGAGGTGCCATTTTTTTCAGCCTCTGGCTCATTTTTATTGTTGTTCCAGGACTGTTTTTAGTCCTAACCCTAACCAACTTTGCCCTGCATAGGCCTGTATCTTTCTGGCTGTCCTGGGGCAATGTGGAAGGTTGTGCCCAAAGTGATGGTTAAGGATTTAGATACTGTGATGATGCTGACCTGGTGGTTGGGAAGGATTTTAGATGTTCCAGAAAAAAAGGGTTTAGCTTCCTTTGCTTTGTTTTTTTTTTTTGTAATTTGATATAGATACAAGAGGACATCTGAAACTTTGTCTCAAGCTGGACAGAAGGCTTCTGCAGCTTTTGCATCTGTGGGATCTGTCATCACCAAAAAGCTGGAGGATGTAAAGTATGTCCTATTTTTTCTTGCTTGTTAAGTGTCTGAGGAAAATGACAATAGGCTATGGTAGTCTTAGTGTCCTGACTCTGGTTCTGGGTGACACTGGATTCCATTCCTGGGGAGGCGGGCATGGCATCAAACCAAAGTTTGAAAAATTGTCTCAGTTCCTTTAGGCCTGGCCATCTAACTTTCAGGCATAGCATTCAAAATCATCACCCTATGAATCCACTTACGGTTCTTGAACAATTCTGGTTATAAACTTTTGTCCTTTGAGTCCTTCCTGGTGATATAGGGCAGGAGTGTCAAACTCATTTTCACCAGGGGCCACATCAGCCTCACAGTTGCCTTCAAAGGGCTGAAATAATTTTAGGACTGTGTAAATGTAACTACTCCTTAACTGTTAAGGAGTTGAAATTACATTTGGCCCTTTGAAGGCAACCACTAGGGTTGCCTTTCACCATGAGGCTGATGTGACCCCCCAGTGAAAATGAGTTTGACACCCCTGATACAGGGTATGTCCCTTGTGGTTGCAGGTTGTGGTTGTGGGCTGAGCCTGGTGTCTCACTGGTGGTGAGTCCAGGAGCACTGAAGTGCATGCATGGCCTGAGACCAGCCTTCCTTCTCTGTGGTTTGTTTTACACCATGCAGTCACTGTACCATGCTCACTTCTGCACTGATTTGCAGTCATTTGTAAGCCATGTATGTTCCTGCTTATGCCCAAATCTTGATTTTGTACTGTTGCTTTTTAGTTTGGATTTCAATATATTTTAGATGAGTCTGCAGGATTTTCCTGGCTATTGTAATAAACCTACTTCCCAGTGCTTTTGTGCACCCCCTACCACGTGTATTATAATAGTGCTGGGAAGGACAGATGTGGTTTCAATTGGCTGTGCTTCTGTTGGCATGAAAGATTCGTGTTTTAAAAACAAAATCCTTAGATTGCATGACTTTGTGTTTTTCATTTGTGGGGACAGATTTTATAACCAGAATTTTGTTGGCTGGAAAAGTTTGGCAATCTGTGTGTAAGACTTTGTACTCAAAACACCAAATAGCTTGCTCTTTATATTTGTTCTATGGTCATTCTAAGTATAATGTGATGAACGCAATGTTCTTAAACCCTGTTGACGGAGACATACACACCTCTCAGGTGCTCTCATTTCCTTTTGTGCAGACTCAATATTATAGCATTTCAGAATCCAGTTAAAACCTTGTATAACTAAAAGTAGGTTATTTAATTGGTTTAGGTTTACCCAAACTCCTTTTTTTAATGCTTACTCTGGCTTCTTGCAGATTGCAAGTCTTTTCACACTCCTTTAGGTAAGGAGAGTCTGAGCTCTGCAGCTCAGCAGTCGTCTGACACAAGTGTGCTGTTTTAGGTTGTGATGACGCGCTGGATGGTCGTGTTCGTCCACTCCATAATTTTCTTGCATTTGAAATATTTTTCTCTCTGGTGCTATTCCTGTTTTTTTAAGGGAGTGTTTCTTGTATACCATGGATATTGGATAAATTAAAAAAAGAATTTGACACTGTGCTATAAGGACTGAAAATAATTTTGATGTTTAATTTTTACTTTTTTTTTTAAAGAAGCATCTCTACCATGGCATGCAGAATTCCTCCCTTTTAATGTCTGACCTTGTTTGTTTTTGATGCTGTCATTTCTTTAGTGCTCTTAGAAGGATGGATCCTTCACCAGGGTCCCATTATGCATTCATAATTGACTGGCTCACACTGATATTCTTCTATCTTATACAGCTTACTCAAAATATTTTTATGTATATGGTAAAATATATGTAAGATAAAATATACTATTATACTATTATAAGTATACTATAAATATATTATTACTTTTTAGTACCTGTCTTATTAGCTTATAGATTTTACTATTTTTTTTGCCATAATTATATTTTTTAACTGTGTACACAAGAAAATTCCATGGTTGTAAAAGGGAAAATAAAGTTTATTAGGCCCCAAAAGAAGGCTGGTCGAAAAGATATCAACCCAGATCATGGCTTGTAGGAGGAATCTTTGCCATGCAGACCTCTCCTCTCCCTCCCACACAGACGACGTATCTAGTCAGTGGTCAGAGGAAATAAGGTGGGGGAAGGTCTTCAAAGTGTAGCCAGAAGAATGATAAGTAGTTACCATTTCTGTTCTGTTCATTCGAATTGTCTTCTCAGTCACTCCTTGTCTAGCTATTTGTCTTCTTAAGCAAGCGGGAACTTTTGGCCGAGGCCCTTCTGTCCTAGGGACACTTAGCCCTGGAGGTCAGAGTAAATCATAGGGATAGATGAACTCTAAATATTAAACCATTTAGAGCTAAAATTGTGCTTTAAAAAAAGAAATCAGTGATTGGAGGTAATTCTGTATCTTTGATCTTCAATTAAAAATGGTCAGACTGTTCTAGACAGAATGTTCAGACATGTTTATCTAAAGTTACATGAGTTATGTGCAAATCTGTACTCAGTCCCGTCATCCATCCCTCTGACACTGAGTGGCTACTGGGGGCAGGTCCAAAGGATAACCAGATGTGGTTCCTGTTTGGAAAGACCTTAAAATCTTAGAGTGGTTGGAGTTGGGGAAGGAAGTGGGGACTGGCAAGGAGTTGGGAATGGGAGAGCCCAGTTAATACCTGGTTACAAAACAATGTTAGATGTGATATGAACACAAGTATAAAAATGTGTAAGTGCTGTTGAGAAATGATGTTTCATCAGTAATCACTGTTCTTTCACTCTACCTTTGAAAAAATTGAGCAAATGAACACAAGATGGAGCCCCATGTGTTGTCTTATTGATTCACCAGAAAAGTTTTGACTGTTGTTCTTCTCCAGCTCCTTATGCAGTCACTTCTTTCATTTTTTAAAAAATTAAAAAATTCATTTCATTTTCAGTCCTGTTTTTAATGAATAATATATTGCATATCAATACATGGAAGTTAAAGTAACGCTTTTGATTCAAACTTGGAAATGAGAAATAAGATTATCTTTTGAAAGCTAAATTTTATAATTCTTATGGATTAAAAATTTGGTAAATTAATTTAAAAAATAATTCCTAGGTCAAGAAGTCCTGATTGTAATCTGACTTAATGTGTTCATATAGAATAGAAAAATATGTGAAAACATATATAATGACAGGAGAGGAACATTTTAAGAAAAACATATTTTTTAAATCAGTGAGTCACAGAGACAATTACTGGTCACATGACCCCTGAGAACCATCCAAAGAGAGGGAGCTAGGGTAGATTTTTAGTGTTTCACTCCCAGCAGTATGGCCTTTTGAGGATGCAGGAGGCCCTTGAAAAAGTTGGTTAATCCTGTTAACTCCCCTTTGTTCAGGGGCCATGCTTAACCAGCAGATGAGTGGCAGTGATTTTACTGTCTGGAGGAATTGTGGATATTTTGCTGAATTGAATTTTAGACTCAGCAACAATTTTTATTTTATGTTGTCAATCATTAAACTACACTTGGGATTTAGATCTCTGTTTCAAGCCTTGGGTGGGTGTGTGAGGAGAAAAAGAAAGGAGGAGGAGGAGAGATGCTGCTTTTGATGCCATGAGAATTAGGTACAGTGAGGTTGGGGATCAGGCTTGGGATGTGGTAATGAGCATTATCCTGAGAGGCCTTCGGGAACAGCCAGCTTTTCCCTCAAGTGGTGTGTTCATATCCACCCCTCTCCTGTATGCTTAGTTTCTATACATATATGGTAGGCACTGACTCATGATTTAATATTTGAGAGAAACTTTAAAAGAGTCTTGTCATTCTACTTGGTTCTTGTGTTAAACCAATATTTTGGTGTTATTAATAGCATACTATTATAATTCAGTAGCCTTATTAGTCAAGTAGTTTGATATATTTAAGAGGAAGTGCTAATTTGTGTTTCCAAAGGAAATTTCTTTTTTTTATGTGTTTCTTCATATAAATCTCTAGATGTTTCTCACTTGTTTGGGGCTCCCCTACATTCTTGTAGCTGGCACAGGGTCCTAAAAAAATGTTTTCCTCCACATGTAAGCTCAGGTATCTACCACTGACTGACAGAGGTAACCCTAATCACCACATCTCTGAACAAGAATCTCAATTGTCTGAACTTTCTTTTTTTAATTTAGTCCCCAGAGTTGGTAGATCAGCGGGAGGTTAGCTGTGTTCCAGGGGTCACAAGATGATGGCAGAAATGCCTGTGGCAATGTGACTGTAGGCAGCTTCTTTGTGGTCCAAGGAAGGGCTAGTAACATCTGGAGTTCTTATATTGTAAACTAAGAAGGATGATTTTTTTTTAAAGATTTTATTTATTTATTTTTTAGAGAGGGAAGGGAGGGAGAAAGAGAGAGAGAGAGAGAAACATCAATGTGTGGTTGCTGGGGGCCGTGGCCTGCAACCCAGGCATGTGCCTTGACTGGGAATTGAACCTGCGACACTTTGGTTCACAGCCCGCGCTCAATCCACTGAGCTACGTCAGCCAGGAGAAGGATGATTTTTATTAATTTCCATCCTTCAAATATGGATCCAGCATTAAGCAGGAAAAGAATTAGCAAATTCTTCCCAGAATACTTCCCCACTGTTCTGCAATAGAGAATGCTGAGCTGTGTGGATCTTTCTTGTGTTATGAAGACATTAAGTACGAAGATGTCCAAGTGGTTTGTTTACTGATTATGTTGACTACACCAACTGCTGCATGTCTTGACTTGTATCAAGCTCCTAATCCAGATTATTACATATTAATGAAAAACTAGATTTGGGGAGCTACACTTGAAACACATTGTCACTTATAACTGAGTCTTTGAGAAAATTAAGTCATAAACACACAATATTTAAAAAGAATAGAGAATACTTTAGACTGTCCAACTTACCCAAAGTCAATTATTTACCAAAAATGCTGTTTCAGTGATCAAAGTATTCTAAGCATAGTAACAGTATCAGCAGGACTTTGTGAGTCTAGGAATGAACTCTCATCTTGTGAGGTGACCTCTATGGGAGATAGCTGAGAGTAGGTAACCTTGAACCTGACCAGTTGGTGGTAGTAAAACAGGCCAAATGTTATTTGAATGACCACTGAGAACAGTTAGTTTACCCCCTGGCTGGTGTGGCTCAGTGGATTGAGTGCTGGCCTGCGAACCAAAGGGTCAGCTGGTTCAATTCCCAGTCCAGGCACATGCCTGGGTTGTGGGCCAGGTCCTCAATTGGGGGCGTACAAGAGGCAACCACACACTGATGTTTCTCTCCCTCTCTTTATTCCTCCCTTACCCTCTCTCTAAAAAAAATAAAATCTTAAAAAAATAACAGTTTAATTGGCATGAACTACAAGTGTCTCTTATTAGAAAATTGATACTCTTACTACTAAGGAGGGATAATGTAAATCACTTAATGTCACCAAGTAAGTGGTATATTTTGAACTTTCTCGTTCTGGTAACACATATGTGGGAGAAAGATGGCCGAGGAGCCCTTTCCTTGCCTGGCTTGTGTGTGTGTACCTGTGTGTGTGCATTGGTTTTTGAGGTGAGGTGGTGAACACTAAATTAGAAGTCCCAAAGACCCAAGTTCCATTCTTTATTCTGCTGTGATCTTCAGTAAGTCATTTAAACTTCTAAGCCTTTGTGCTCAATGACCAATAGATACAGGTGAAAGCACTTGACAGTTTCCAACGTGCTACAAAAAAATGCAAGACTGAATCATTAGCTCTGTTAACTACCTGGGTCCAATTGCCTGAGGAATAAAAGTAAAGTATGCTGGAATAACTTTGATCCCCTCCACCTCAAAAACTAGATAATTCTTCATGGTGCCAAAGGGACAAGCTCCTAGGAAGTTAAGTTTTGTTTATTTTATAATGCCTAATCACTGCTGTGCTAAATAACTTCATTCCCGTCTCTTTTTAATGCTGCCTTAGTATACGCTCCATTCAACATTCAATTAGCATGCCTGCTATGAGGTAAAGTATATTTTTACAAAACATAGTTGGTTTTCTGCTTTCTTATTCTGTATTAAGATGATTACCTTGAACTGTTCTGAACTAGGGATTTAGAGTTCTAAACAAACTGCATGTTTACACTGGATCATTTTTTCATCTGCTTTTCCCATAATGTTAGGGTGGGTGCAAGAGCTCCATTAAGTGTTCTGATTTTAAAAAATAAAGTAATATTTTTATTTTGTTAACCTATTGTTTTGTATCTGAAATTTGTTTCATTGAAAATGTGACTATGACTCATGTAATAAACCCCCTCTTCACGGAGAGAGGTTCCCCCACCTCTGTTCACAGTAGTTTATTACAATTCCCTTTCTCCACTCTTTCATTTCCAAGGCCCTCCACCCATTGTGATGTTTGGAGCCACCTGTGGTTTAATTCTTTCATCCTCTTTCATAAAGAAACACCTGCAAATGGCTCTTGTTATAAACTCATCTACCTGTCTAGAGAGGCAGGCAGAGGGTCTCTAACAGTATATTTGGCTCAAATGTCAATGTACAACAGAACCACCTGGAGGGCTTGTTGACTGCCCCATGCTTGCCACCCTCCCACCTAGTTTCTGATGTTGTCAGCCTAGGGTGTGGGACCTGCAAATCAGCATTGTGAACAGCTTCCTGAGAGCTGCCGATGCAGCTGGTCTGGGGACCACAATTTGGGAATGGCTGCCCATCACCACTGGGGGAAAGAGGAAGACCCTGTTCCTGTCTTTACCTTTTTCATCTTGGTAGCAGGAAGGATATTCGAGGTTGGGTGGATGGTATAAAAACTTCACACACCCTAACAAGAGCAACATAGGCACTGTAAACCTCCTTGATGAATGTGGATTAACAGGAAGGTGTGGAGAGGCTTTCCGTGGGCTCAGAGAGCTTGTGTCAGTGGAGCAGCTTTGTGAAGAGGCCAAGCCACATTTCTGTGTTCCTTCCTTTGTCTCTTCTTCCCTATTACTAAGCCCCCTGGGAACTCGATCTGTTATGGGACCTCTTCTGTTCTACTTGTCCTGCTTGGTGACATGGGTTCACAAAGGAACTGTACCACGCAACAAGTGAACTTAAACATGAGTTCTAGAGCATGGTACTTTATCAAAATTAAACTGACCCAATAGTGGCATTTTCTGGTACTGTGACAAGTTGGTTAGGAAAGTGATAGCATTAATGTGTTACCTGACTTGTTTCCTTGTCACAAGACTGTCTCTATTCATGGGATCAAAAGCATCATTGTAAAAATCTTACAGGTGGATAATCTTACATAACACATATTTGTGTGTACGCCTGCAAACCTGTAGTATAGATAAATACAACTGTTCTTTTGCTGACAGTAATGGTTATGAGGAATACAGTCAACTAATGATATTTTCAAAATTGCTAGGGTTATTTTTCAGTGCTCAAGATTTTACTACTTGTTTCTTTTTCTCTCTCCACAGAAACTCTCCAACTTTCAAATCATTTGAAGAAAAGGTTGAAAACTTAAAGGCAAGTAGAGAGGTGAACAGGGTCTTTGTGTTATCTTTGATGCCTGAACTTTCTTTGGTGTGGGTAAATTATTCAAATTACTAACTTTCTGAAATAACAACTTTAATAACTTTATTCTTTACATGATTAATGGGTATTTAAAGTGATCAACTTTTAATCAATTTTTGACTGTATATGTAGCATTCTAAGTGCTGAAAAGAAATGCATGATTTAAAAAACAATAGTACTTTAGAAGTTTGTGATGCTTTTAGCATTATTCACTTCAAATACTTTTGTAATTGGAGAATATTTAATATAAATTTTATTGTAGAAAATCAAAAATAATATAGAAAAGCACAAAAGTATGATAAAAAATTGGTCCTACCACCCAGACACAGTGCTATATGTATATAAGATTCCTAAGTTTTTAAAAAAGGATTAACTATACATCATAAACACTTTTATATCATTTAGTATTCTTTCTCAATATTATGTGTAATGGTTGCTTACATATGCCTTATAATGGATGTTGTTTGTTCAGTAATGGACATTCTTATTATGATGATCCTATGGTGATCATCATTGATGATTCACTGTTTTAATTTCTGATTGCTTTGATTTCAGTGAAGGTGGGCATTTTCCCATAATGATTAGCTTTATTAACTTAGTAAATTATATTATCTTCAAGATTATATTCAAAATTATAAAGGCATCCACTCTTAGGACCACAAGTCACTGGAAAGGTCATTTAGTTCCCATCTACTGCCCAATCTTCTCTACAGAGTTGGGCACAGCCCATATGTTCATTTCTTCCTAAGCTAATTCTGATAATTATGGTGGATATTTTTTAAGGATTATGAATATCTTAAATGTTTTATATAAATCAACTTAAAAACAAATATTCAGATTTAGTGTTTCATAATTGTGATGTAGACCCTTATTTTTATTTATTTTTTGAAGGCTTTTTTTTTTTTAGATTTTATTTATTCCTTAGAGAGATAAGGGAGGGAGGGAGACAGAGATACACCATAGTGTGGTTGCCTCTCAAGTGGCCCCTACTGGGGACCTGGCCCATAAACCAGGCATGTGCCCTGACTGGGAATCAAACCGGAGACCCTCTAGTTCGCAGGCCAGCACTTAACCCAGTGAGCCACACCAGCTAGGGCTGTAGCCCCTTATTTTTAAATTATAGAAACAGGGTCTGCTTATGGAGAGAAAACCAAATACTGTTAGGTTGTAATCCAGTCCATAAGTGATGGCAAATTAAGTTAGTGCCAATGGGACAAAGTTGAGAGGTGTTTAGAATTTAGAAACAACAGACAAAAGGTAGTGATTGATCAGATGTGGAGTAAGGGGGGGGGCAGATCACCAGATCACAATTACTCCCAGGTGCCTGAGGAGTTGTTTTAGACATGTTGAATTTTAAGGAGTCTTAACATTTTCTTATGATCAGGGAATGTGTCTTAATAGATCAATAGACAGTATATAAGCTATTCACATTTTCCAAAGATTTTGGATGGAAGACCAAAAAGGAATGAGAAAGAAAATTTCAGCTAGATTCCAGTTGTTAATGAGTCTCTGGCAAGTCAGTTAAGAGTGAGCTGAGAGCAAGGTCAAGTTAAACCCACTGTGAGTTGTATCCTTGGTCACTGACTGGTTTCTCAATGTAGTCACTTCCTTGTTGTTCAGTAATGAGATGTAACATAGATATCAGTGTTGTTAAGGATGAAGTGACATATATAAGGGCTCTGGACATATAGAATATTGTACAAATGTAAAGTAAAGCAGGTATCTTCATCAAGACACATTTATTGACCCAGTTTCTGGCCAGATAAGTTGGAGTAGTATTTCACACTATCCAGTCTGTAGGGAGCACCTGGAAATGTTGTTCAAGTGCAGATTTCAGTTCAGTAGATAGATGGAAGTGGGGAGGTGGAGCTGAGATTCTGTATTTCTAACAAGCTCCCAGGTGATGTCTGCATCCTTGGGCCACACTCTTACTAGCAATGGGTGAGAAAGTTGGCATTGTAAGTAGGGAAGATACATATGTTCCTTTCCTTTGTTGAAGTCTATCATATATGTGAATGAGTGGTGCTGAATGCACAATTTGATGGGCGACAAAGTGTCATCCAAATATAAAGAGAATTCAATTTACATTTTAGAATAATAGGCCTTTCAGAGTTCTCTAGACAGATTTCCCTGTGAAGAACAAACAGCAGATAGGGAAAAAAAGACAGAATTTACAAACCTGAATATTTCAGCAGGGAAGACTACATGTTTTTCTATTGAACTGCACCAAACACTACAACAGTACTAAACTTCCTATGTGTAAAATAATTAACCACTGAGCTATTGGTTCCTGATTTGTTCTCAAAAGCAAAATCTGAGTTAACTTTATGCAGACCCACTTAAGTGTGTTTCACGATGTCTTTTTCCTTTCTGAACTTTCTAAAAAGTCGAAAGTAGGGGGAACCAAGCCTGCTGGTGGTGATTTTGGAGAAGTCTTGAATTCAACTGCAAATGCTAGCGCCACATCTGTGGAACCTCTTCCAGAACAGACTCGGGAGGGCCTGTGAGATCCTGCCTTTGTCCTGCTACCCACTGCCAGATGCTGCCAGCAAGACCCAAGCACATCTTGTCAATGGTCATTGCCATGAATTCCCACCCCATGTGCTTTTATTTAGCCTTACATATTTTTTTGACCAAATAGTCTGTGGATTGAATAAAATAAAAGTATCTTCACCTCTGTACTTGGGAAACATCCTTCAATGTGCATTTCAGGCCCTTTATTTAGGAAGCACCATTACAAAAACATGTGTAGGATACCTGGGGGCCCTCACTAGAATGAATTGAGTAGCAGCAGGTTATCATAATGGTGTTCCTACTTTACAAAATTGCTCTGCTCTGGATTGGGGATGCTGGTTTGATCTCTGTTTTCTATGTGATTTTCTATTTTTCCTTTTTGTACCTCTGGATATTTGATTTCTAACTAAAATTGTTCCTTTAAATTTTCTGAATCCTGGTTATTAAAAGTTCGGCATAACTTTCTTTACCTTCAAAGAACTACCAGCTACAAAAATTACTTTTGAGTAGACACTGTTTTGGTATAAGGTCATTTTATATCTTGGGTGTCTGAAGACATCATAATAAGTAATCAGTTCTTATATCCAACTTATTAAGAGTTTTGCAAGTGGCAGTATGTACAGTAATCCAAACTCCTTAGTGACTGGAGAGTGGACCTCTCACATCCTAGTCACCATTTGTGACAGTAATCATTTCAGTGTACTAGTTCTTATGCCACTTACATCAACCTGTTTTTCACCAGATTAAATTTGAGTTTCAGAGTAAATAGCCTATATATTTTGAATTGAGCATACTGTATTATCAGGTTAAAATAGGAATACTCTCATCAAATATTCAATTCAAAAGTCAGCAAGGTTTTAGATCTAGTTATACTTAAAAATGCTAAAATCAATCACATTAGGGGAAACATCCCTGTCTTCATTTAATTAATTTAGCACCATTTAAAATTAAGCACACAGACTAGTGTAACTTGATTACATGAAGGGGTTGGTAATAACTCGAGAATTTAATGCATTAATAAAAATCAACTCATTTTCTACCTGTTTTTTCTTTTTTTTTTTTTAATTTTTTTAAGATTTTATTTATTTATTTTTAGAGAGGGAAGCAGGGGGAGAGACAGACAGACAGACAGACAGACAGACATCAATGTGCGGTTGCTGGGGGTTATGGCCTGCAACCCAGGAATGTACCCTGGCTGGGAATCGAACCTGGGACACTTTGGTTCCCAGCCCGTGCTCAATCCACTGAGCTACGCCAGCCAGGGCTTCTACCTGTTTGTTTTCAGTGTGTTAAAAATTATTAAATGATTCTGTAGACACTGTCCCCTACTTCAAAAACTGGGTGTCAGAGCCGAATGCACCAAAGCCTTTGGAAATATCTGCATAGAGGCAACAGTGCTCTATTAGTTCTAATACTTATTTATTCATCACCACTACCTTTTCCTTATGCTGTGTATGGATATGCCTACAATACTGTATTTGTTATTTATCAAGTTGTGATTGTTTTATTATTGTTTATGCCAAATGTTAATTGCCAAGCTTGGAGTGACCTAAAGCATTTTTATAAAGCATGACTAGATTTACTTCACTGTAAATTATCTTAGGAAAACCACATTTGAAAATGCAGTGTTGACCGTTATAAATTAACACGATGCCTGTCTTACTAGAGCTTTTGTTAGCACTTTAGATGCAACTGAAACTCTGCTTTATTACGTGTGAAAACTTAATAAATTACATATACCAATAGTATAGGTCTCAATATTTATATTATTATGAGACCAATGGTATGGAAACAGCTTGTTGTCTTAAAGAGGCAATGGGTGTCTATGCTATTTTTTCTTTTTAAAGGAGGCTTTTTTTTTTACCATCTGCTTTAAATCATTATACATATTATAAATTATTTCTTTATAGAGGATTTTAAGGGAAGGGTCATTGAAGCATTGTCCCAGAGGAATAGATCTGTTTTTTTAAATAGAAATATTGTGGTTACTCAGCGTAACCATTGAGTTATATTTTTCTGTCAACTGTGTCATCTTTCAAATTTTTTATCAAAATTAACTTTTCATCATAAGTTTCTTAAGCATCCTGCCATTACTATCTTGTCAACAAGGCAAAATGGAGTAAGATGGCAATATTTTTAGTTAAGTGAAATATCCCCAAGTCTCTTTAGCTTATGGTGAGAAGTGATGGAAATAGGTGTGGAAAGTAGGATGGGTGTATGCGGGTAATGAAGATAGCTGTGGAAGAAGAAATCAGAATCACTACACTTAATCTAAAAGTGATTTAATCTACTGTACAGTAAGTTACCTCTTAAAAGTAGTCAAATGTAGAGGGAGAATGAATTTAGAAAAATAGACATGGTTTTAGAAAAATTATTCAAAATTATCTTTGTGGAAGATTCAATGTCATGAGCTCACAGTTCTACTCCGTTGTGTTTTGTTTGACACTTTAAGAAAACAGCAACTTGAGAGCAAATCTCAGATATTCAAGGATTCAAGAAGCATCAGAGAAAATCATCCCTGAAATTGTCGTTTCCTAACAAAGGAATGTCTTTGGTTTATAGAGTTTGTGGAAAATAAAGCAAGAATTCTAATGCTTATGAGACCAAAGTAATCAATGAAAGAAAGTAGAATTCACTGGATAATCATCTTGGTAACTCAAAGAAACAACTGAAATAGAGAAAAAGTGTGTTTAATTTGGAATCACTATTTCTGGATCTGTTCATCAAGAAGTGAACACTGTCTATTTCTCTTTTGTATAGTATTTGTAAACAATAAATATTCTATAATTTGGGTATGGGTCTTTATGTATTACCTGTCTGTTGAGAAAAAATATAACTTCATGTCCTGGACATGGAAAAAAACCATAAGCAGCTATCAAACAAAACAGAATCAGTGTATCAAACAAAACATCCCTGCCTGGTGTGGCTCAGTTGGTTGCACCATGTCCTGCAAAGTGAAAGGTTGCTGGTTTGGTTCCTGGTCAGGACATGTGCCTGGGTTGCAGGTTTGTCCCTAGTCAGAGTGTAAGGCAACCGATCAATGTTTCTCTCCCTCTCTTTCTCCTTCCCTTTCCCTCTAAAAAGAAATAAAATCTTTGAAACAAACAAACAGACAAAAAACCCTGAAAAAGCTATATGCTGACCACTAAGAGGTATTTGTCAGTGAGTACGTGCTGTGTGGGTCAGAGGTCATGCTACATAAAGTCCTGTGTCACAATCACATATTTATTTATTTTTAAAAACAATTTTCTTGAGGTGTAATTGAAATACAAAAATGGCTCAAATTTAAAGTGTATAGTTTGATGTTTCAACATATTTATATACCCATGAAACCATCACCAGTCAAGATGATAAACATCCATTGTCCCATTCACCAGTTTCCTTATGCCCTTTGGTAATCATTCCCTTTTGCCCTCTTTTACTTACCCCATCTGCTTTGTCAGTATAGATTAGTTTGCATTTTCTATAATTCCATATAAATTTAATCACATTGTGTACATTTCTTCATAGCTCTTAAAACCAAGATGAAAAATCAGATTTTGCCCTTAGTGAGAAGACCATTAATTAGTGACTATCCCATTGTAATTGGATCAATTACAGAGACCACGTTGGGTGACAGTTAACATAAAAACATTATCACTTTTAAGTAAACTGTAAACCTTAGACTTCACAATTTTCATGTTCTGATGATTCTGAAACCAAAATAATCCAAAATAACTCAATTTGGAAGCCACAAGAGGGCAGGACCTGCATATGCCTGTCATCTGCCAGGATTTCATATTTAAATAAATGCTGTAGGTCAACCAAAATTCTTGCCAACTTGCATATGTAATTTTGATGTTACTTAATGAGGTTGGCTGGCAGTGATTATTTTAATGCGGTGGTTTTCCTAGGACACAGAATAAAACAATTTTGTTATTTGAATATATTAGGTGGGTAGTTATCTTTAACACTCCATTTCAATGTGCTTTAAAGCCTCCCCCTTGGATTCTAGGCTTGAGTGTCTTGTTGTTTTCCAGTTTGACTATTTTCAGATATTCCTTTCTTTCATGTTCTTAAATGTTATTGCCTATCCTCACTCATTTTCTGTTGGGTTGGCCAAAAAGTTCATTTGGTTTTTTTCCATAAGATGGTTCTAGTAGTGCTGAGTTGTCTTGAACTTCATTCAAAACAATTTTGTTAGACTGTATTGATACAGCTGTCATATCAACCTGCACTTTGAAAAAACACCAAAATTGGTGAATGTTTTTGTAGCCATTTTTAATATTGAAGATGGAAGAACATATCCAACATTTTAAACATGTTATGCTTTATTATTTTATGAATAGTAAAAACTCAACTGAAATGCAAAAAAAATGTTTCTGTAGTGTATGGAGAAGGTGCTGTGGCAGACTGAACATGTCAAAAGTGGTTTGCAAAGTTCAGTGCTGAGATTTCTCACTGGATGATGTTCCATAGTGGGAGTAGACCAATTGAAGTTGATAGTGATCAAATTGAGACACTGAGAACAACATTCTACCACATGGGATGTAACCAACATACTGAAAATATCCAAATCAATACAGTTATTGGTAAAAATGAAAAATGTGTTTTATGGAAAAAATTAAATGGACTTTTTGGCCAACCCATTACATACATTATCTCCTTAATGGTCTTATTCATATCTATGGCTGAAAAGACTAGAGTGACACTACTATCTCTCCAATGTATAGTTAGCCCTATCTTTTTTTCCAGGTTTTCATGTATGCTTCACAGGCATGAATTTCTAATCACCTCCTGGTCACCTCCATTTAAGCCACTAGTAGCCACTATTTATTGAGCTTTCAGTAGGTGTTGGGAATTGTACAATACACTCATTTCCTTTGGTATTTTACTCAAAGGTGTGGCAATGTCACCTTTTTAATATTTTTATTTTTAGAGAGAGGGGAAGGGAGGGGGAGAGGGAGAGAAACATTGATCAGTTGCCTCTTGCATGCACCTAACCAGGAACCAAACCCACAACTCAGGCATGTACCCTGACCCAGAATGGAATCAGCAACCTTTCACTTTGTGGGATGATGCCCAACCAACTCAGCCACACCAGTCATGACACCATCACCTTTTTATAGATGAGATCACAGCCAGGCCATATAAAGCCAGGCCATGAACTATTTCCATTCACTTTCCTTGCCACCAGCCATTACTAATGTTTTTACAAAGTATACTAACATTTCGAAAGCTATAGGGGAGTGGTGTCAAACTCATTTTCAGTGGGGGCCACATCAGCCTCACGGTTGCCTTCAAAGGGCTGAATGTAATTTCAACTCCTTAACAGTTAAGGAGTAGTTACATTTATTCAGTCCTAAAATTATTTCAGCCCTTTGAAGGCAACTGCAAGGTTGATGTGGCCCCTGGTAAAAATGAGTTTGACACCCCTGCTATAGTGGAAGAAAGAGGCCTGTTGTTAAAGAAGGTGTGGTTCAAAGGGTAGTGCAGGATCAAAATCCCTGAGATGTCATGAAGATGTTAAAGCACTGCATTAGAGCTGATGTTACAGTTGGTGATTGAATAGGCAAGGACAGTGTGTGGATATCTCCTTGTTGATTTGGCCAGTCCTTTACAGTTCCTCTCATTTGATGCTTCTGATGCTCTACCAAAGGCAAAGAACTTAGCATAACTTGAAATCAGTTGATATGAACTCCCTCACATGTTAAAAACTTGAAGATTTGTCCCAAAATGCCTGTTGTCACAATCCTCAAGGAATTTATCATCTGGCTGAGGCAGGAAAAAAACATAATCTGAATTTAAGAGCTGGGATATTACTAATCCCACTTATCCTGTAGATACTGATGTAGTTAACTTTACACACACTTCCTTAAATTTAACACAGAGTCTCACATCTTGGTTTTACAAGTGAGGAAACAAATTAACATTAAATTGGCTTGCCTAGGGTCAGGATTAGAGTCAGGACTAGAATTAAGCATTCTTAAGGTCACAGGCCAATGCTTGTTATAATTTACCACACTTTTCCCTGAAGGGAAAAAGGAAGTAGCAACAGAATAATGCAAAATGTCTTGCCCAAGACTTCAGTAATGGCCAAGGAAAATAAATGGTTTAAGCGCCAAGAAGGAAGAACTCACCTGGAGCAGAATTTGTCTTAAGCCCCTTACTGAATTTGTAAGGATTACTTTACAGTTGGCTAATAATAATGTCTGTAAGCATGTAATTCATACAATTATGCACCATTCCAAGGTTAGTGTATTTCTAGTGCTCTGTATACTGTCTGATTATACAATTGACAAAAACATGAACACATGATTAAAGTAGGGATTGTGGTCATACATAAAAATCCCTTCTGTCCAAATACCTGTAAATGAATTGGAAAGGGTGCTTGCCACCTCCCCCCAAAATAAGTACATATAAATAATTGCATAACTAATTAATATAAAATTGCTGGGTAGAAGATGGGTGGATAGCTTAATTCACAAAACTTCACGTAGGGTGTTTGGCCCAGTTTTGAAGAGTGTGGGCTAATTCTGGGAGTTAACATTGGGAAGAAAAGGGAGAAAAATCACGAGTGAAGTGGGCTGGGGGAAGCTCTGGTAGTGCATATTTATGCACATTCTGAAATTTCCCAATTGCCTAAAAGATTATAGATTTGTAGAGGTGACAAAAAGTCTCAGAAATATTAGTATTATTTTAAAGATTTTATTCAGTTTTAGAGAAGGAAGGGGAAAAGAGAGGGAGAGAAACATCAATGTGTGCTTGCCCCTCGCTGGCCCCCAACTGAGAACCTGGCCAGCAACCCAGGCATGTCCTCCGAAAATCCATCAGGGAACCCTTTAGTTCACAGGCCGACACTCAATCCACTGAGACATAACGGTCAGGGCATAATTAGTATCTTGTAACGTGGGCGGGCTGAAGGCAGAAAAGGCAAGACAGATAAAATGAATCCAGGATTTCACAAATGTCTGAAAAGGGATCAACCATCCAATAGCAAAATTCCTGCCCTCACAGAATTTACGAAGTCGGGGGTGCAGAAGCTGAACAAAATTACTGTGCGTCAACTATATGACATATTAAGAAGTGCAAAATGGAATAGAGAAAACCAGAGGGGCACCATAGTATGTATTTTTGGTTCCAACCAAGACCTGAAGAGCGGTGGGGGATAAGTCTTGCGCCCACCAGGGGCACAAGCAAAGGCGGAGGGACCAAAGAGTGTAGAGTTACCGAATTTACCGCAGGACAAGGCCAACGGGATGCCTGGGAAGGCGAAATTCCTGGGTTGTAAAACGCTTTCCACCTAAACTAAACGGATGTCTGTCAGAAGTGGACCGTTGGTCAACAACTTAAGTCTTCCAACATTACCGATCTCACCTTCAACTCCGAGAGCACGCCGCCTGCAACACCCCAGCCTGTCGTTAGAGCTCTGCGGCAAGCGGGCGGAGCTTTCGTTGCTCCACCCATGACCTGAACGCTGACGGAGAGGTTAAAGGTCAAAGGTTCTAGCTGGAGCAGTCATGGCGGCGCTGTGTCGGACCCGTGCCTTGACTTCCGAGAGTCATTTCCTGCGCGTGTTCCTCTTCTTTTGGCCAAGTCGAGGCGTAGGCACTGAGAGTCACTTCGGCAGTGAGAGTTTTGAGTTTACGGAGTGTAGAACGCGCCCAGGCGGCTTTGCGAGTGCCGTGGAGCGGCTATCGGAGCTGCAGCACAAGCAGGAGCCTGGACGGACGAGGGTAAGACGCGGGTGCTGTGCCAGAGCTGTGGCAGGAGGGACAGGGAGTAGGGCGGAGCCCGGCGTGGGGAGGTGCGACCGAGCGTCGCGTAGGCCACGATTTATACCGTGGAGCCCAGAGTCGGGACCTAGCCTGGCTTTGGGCGGGTGAGGCTAAAATACTGGGCGGGGCCTGGCGTAGGGATTGGAACGTGGACCCAGGGTGTTTCAGGGCCCACAGGCCACTTGGAACTGGGGTCCTGGTTGCTGATTTTCCTCCTTTTGTTGTGCTTCTGTGCGGTATTTTACATTCTGGACCTGCCAAGTCCACACCCTTGCTCGTATCTTCTTGAGGCAGTATTCGCCTGGACTCGCAGGCGAATCTGACTCATACCGAAGAGGCTGCTGGGCCCTCTGCTTGTCTCGTTTTAGACTGTAGCTCCAGTGTGGTGCTTAGTGCAATTCAGTGGATAGGTAAATGAGAGAATTACTGTCTCTCTGAACTTGAGCCGAACAGTTTAACCTGTCAGTGTGTCTCACTTCTCTGTAAATGACTTAAAAATTCTCATCTGATTCAGGCAGTACTTTTATAAAATACAATAGACTTGGTAGGTAAAAGAAATGGAAGAAATAGACATTACTAGATTCAGCGTATGTGAGATTGGATGTCTGGCAATATTAAGTTACATGAAAACAGTTTCTCTACTTATCTCCTTGGGAACCAGTACCAAACAGTTCACAGACTGGTGGTGTCCTGGATTATAGAAAAAAGAATGCTTGGCATCTAGCACAGTGCTTGACCCTTAGTGGGCTCTCAGTGTTTGCCAAATGGGTGAATGAATGAATTGTACACGTAGTGCATATTTGAACTTCAAAAACAGTTTATAAATGAAAATAGTACAAGTTTGAACATACCAGTTTTGATCTAATCGAGAATAATAATTGATCAACAATTATAAGAGTAATAAGATAAATGTAAATACTTTTGATTTTAATATTAATTGGAAATTTTTAGTGTTTTTCTGACTTTGTGTATTTATGATGAGAAATATGAACAGTAATTAGGTGTAGAGAGATTCAGCTTTATGAAAGAAACTTTCGCTTTATTTTTTTTAAATCCTCATCCAAGGATATATTTATTGATTTTAGAGAGCGAGGAAGAGGGAGAGAGAAACATCGATATGAGGGAAAATATCGAAATATCGATTGAAATATTGATAGGTTGCCTCCCATGCATGCCCAACTTGGGATGGAACTTGCAACCTAGGTATGTGCCATGACCATCTGCAACCTTTTGATGAATGGGATAGTGCTCCAACTAACTAAGCCACCCAGCCAGGGATTCACTTTACTTTTTGAAGTTGCTGATGCTGTTTACAAGTATCCTTAGAATGAATAAAGTTCATCTCTATTGTGTGCTCAGGATTTTTGAAAAAAAAATTAATTTTACAAAGCAATATTTGCTTACTTTAAAAAATTTAAGTAGCACTGATGGTTATTGTGGGAAGGGTTAAAGCCCCCTTTTGTCTTTCCTCATTTTCTCAAGACTGAAGGGTATATTTTAGAAAGAGCAACTTTTGGAGATTTTATATATGCATATAAAAATGTAAGCTAATTAAGTACAAGTAGTCATATTTAAAAACTCACAAATTGGTTGGTACAGTTTTGAACTATATTATTACTGTTTCAGAGTGTAAGTTCCAGATTCAGACAGTGCTGGTTTCAATTATGGTTCTGTCAGTGGATGTGTGTACCCATTGATTTAATTCTTATCCTTAAAGTACAGACTTATGTATCTATATGTATGGCCTCAGAAATAAGTGATATTCAGTAAGAGCCAAGCAAGTTATCCTTTAAAGGAACTTTTCTCTGCGGGTAGGAATTTAATCAAGGACAGTTCATGAATTCCTTATCTCAAATTTCTGTGAGGTTACTAGTTAAAAGGATGTCAAGTTTAAATGACATGAAATATTCCATTGTTTTGTGTAGAGGGATGCCCTCTTCCCATGCTCACTTCCCACTTTTCTTTGCTTCATTCATTACTTTTAATATTGGTTTATGCATCTGAGTCTTCAACTAGTTCCCCCCGCCCTCTGGGGTAGGGACCAAGTTCTTTTCATTTCTGTAACCAATATAATATGTATAGAGGACTAATAAAAGATATATATTTTAAGTCCGTTAGCTTTGTGTCTTTTTAAAAATATTTTAAAACCTGTAACTCTCTCAGGTCGGTAGAGATTTGTAGAACCTGTTAAACTGATTGAGAGCTTTGCTATAACTGATCACCCATCTTACAGCCACAAGGTGGCAATAGTTGAGCAAAGAATTGGTTTTCTATTATATGAGTATTACTGTTCCTTAAGGGTAAAGGATGGCATATTGTTCTTCAGCACAGTGAAAAAATGATTTGCAAGAGTGTTTAAGGCCACACAATAGAACATTTTATTATTTCAAAATGGAGGATAACATTTTACTGTTTTAGCTTATCTATGTAGAATATTGATGTTACAAGACAGTTTATAGTTTCATTTTAGTGATAAATAGATTTTATGCAAATATTTTTAAAATGTCACTTTTAACTTTATCATGAATATTTTATTGGTATTTTTTACTTCAAAATGCTGGAATATTCCAGACCACAGAATATTTAAACAGATATTTTATATTTTCAGAATACTGGGAAAACCCAAAATCACAGTTTATTTACTGGATTTGTTTCAACATACAGCAGAAAAGTCTCATATTTTTAATGTAAGTTTTAAGTCTGCTAAATCAATGTAGTAGTAATGTCATATAGTTTTATTTAACACTGTTTTCATACTAGTTTTATATTGACAACTTTAAAAATTATACCCATATTTTAAAAACTTACATGAAAGGAATGTTGAAAACATTTTTGCTTCTAACCCTGGTGCCCCTCGTTTTACATTAGAGGATTCTAGGAGCATTATTTCTGAGTTAGTAATAAAAATCTTCTGAAATCTTCAGTATCATAATGCAATCTAACATTTTCAAACCATGTTTAAAGGAAATGACCAGTAAATACAAAAACAATGAAAACGTGTGTTGAAGTAGATGTAAATCTCTAGGGAAAGTAAGTTTTTATCAACACCAATGAAATGCTTATAAATAATATACCTTTCTACAGGAAAACATGAAAATATTCTGCATGTATTTGTTTCATGAGTAGTCATATGATTTGATTATAAGCAGTCAGACTCTTATGACTTCTTAAGGCAGCATTAGCTTTTACTATTTATATATCTTTTTTAAGTCTTGCTTTTGTTCAGTAATCTCACTCCCTCCTTTTAATGTGTTTGGATTTTGTTTTACTGTTTTTCCTAAAATCATATTAAATTTTTAAAAAAATTATATTAAATTTTATACCATGATTATAACTCTTAGGTTTATTTTGATTGGCATTAAATAACAGGAAATAAAGGAAATCCACATTTGAGTGGAGCCTGGTTTGTAGAGATTTGGGAATAAAATTCAACAGGGTTGATTCAGTTTAAACATTTGGAAACTCTTGGTGTTTGCAACGGACAGAGGATGAACGGTAGATGCTCTGTCCAGGAGTAGGTGACTCAACAAGTCCCCTGACCTAGTTGAGATGTGTTCTCCCAAAGGAAATAAGTACACACTGAGACAGAGTATTGATCCCAGAGAAATTAAAACTTAACAGTACTTTCATATAAAAACCTCTTCACAAATGTTCTTAACAGCTTTACTAGAAATAGCCCAAACTGGAAACAACCCAGATGTCCTTCAGCTGATTAATGGTTAGATGAACTTTGGTCCTTAGCAATACAAAGGAGCAAGCAGTTCATACACATCAGCTTGAATGACTCTCAAGGGAATCATACTGAGTAGAAAAGGCAGTCCCAAAGGCTTATGTTTTATACCATGTGATTCCATTTGAGTAACATTCTTGAAATGACAGAATCATAGAGATGGAGAACAGATCAGTAGATGCTAAATGTTAGGAAAGAGAGATAGTGGGAGGTAGAGAGCTTTAAAAGGACAACACAAGGGGTCCCTATGGTGTTGGAACTATCCTGCAACTGGATGGTGGTGGTGAATGCAGGAACCTCCACATGTGATGGAGTTGTGTAAAAACTGGTGAAATCAGTTTCCTGTGTCTTGCAAGATGTTACCATTGGAAGAACTGGGTAAATGGTGTAGGGGTTCTCCATGTATTATTTCTTAAAATTGAGCATGTATTTACAATGGTCTCAAATAGAAAGTTTAATTTTTAAAAAATCATTAGTCTGTCAGGTCCAGCACTGGAAAGACCAGTGAATTCCTTAAGCCAAAGCCCATTTTCTCACTTCATTTCCTGTAAGATTATTTCTTTGGTTAGAAACAATGCCATGCAGAGTACTATAACAAAGAATACAAAATTCTCTCTTTATAGATAGTGCTTTTGATAGAAGCTTTGTGGGTAGGGAAAGCAAATCCATATTCAGAGTATCTATTCCAGTGGTAATATATTCATTTAGAATGGTCCTATGTAATCAACCTGCCACCTGGTGGCTGGCTGATTCTTCCAGGGAGTGATGTTATATTGGAAACTTAGTACTGGTCTGTCCTCTTGGCACTTGGTCATTTAGCAGTGTTGGTAGCCAGATCAACCTGGGCAAGTAGAAGTCGTTTTTTCTAAATCCACACATAAGCTCCATCCCACAAAAGTTCAGGGTGATATCACCATAGTGATATTTCTACTTGGCTGGTGGTCTGGGACATGTTGAGATACTCCCTGACTCCTAAAACAGAAGCACATCCCTACTGCCATGTAGGGATGTGCTTCTTGAAACCACTTGCAAGGGACAGGAGTAGCTAAGGAAAGAGGTTGACTAACGTCCACAGGACTGGTTATCATGTCCCCTGATTATTAAGATTTCTCTCTGCTGAAGAAATCATTCACATGTGACTCATTTATTTTCTCAGTTTGTGTCCATTCATAGAGGTCTGTTTACATGTCTTTCCCAGACCATCTTGTCATCTGTGTTCCAGTCATGT